AGCTTATGGGTATCCACAGGCCAAGTGGAATGTGGCTTTAGCAGTTGCGGAAGCAAAAACTGACGTGACGAGGAGTTCAGTGAGGCCATGGAAAATGACACGGGGGGGGGGCACCAAGGTTTGCCCCAATACCAAGATCAGCAGTGACAACAAGGGCTACAAGGAGGTCATGGGGCAGTAGGGTCTGGGCAATAGGAACAACAGGGAGAGGTTTACAGGCCTATGAGCTACAAGCAACCTGATAATTAGTGGAAGAATATTTCTTCTTAAAAGGATACGCAAGCCAACTTGAGATATACAGGGCTATTTAAGAAGACACAGGAGAGGAAAGAAAAAGCAGCAATGAACAACAATTGTACGTGAATGGAGAAAGCTAAGGCCCAGGAGCAGTACACAGAAGCCAAACGGAGTGCTAAGGAGAGTATCAAGACTGACAAGAAATACTATGTAGAGCAGAGGTAGGAAACCATGATCCTGGAGTGCCGGTATCTAGCAGGTTTTTCATCTCTGAGAAGGTGCTTGGTAATGTGGACAGGGAGACCTGCTGGAAGCTGCTGAGACACTATGGAGTGCCAAACAACATCATCCAAATCCTATGAGGGCATGACCTGCAGGGTAGTTCATGGTGGTCCAAATATAAACATGGCTGTTTGCTGTCACACTTGTTGCCCTTTATCTAAATTATTTTTTATTTGTTTGGTTCTAGGAGGAAATGCTTAGTTTGTGTTGTTAAGTGTGATTTTATTAGGCCAATAAAAAGTGATTCTGAGAAGAGCTAGACTTTTTTCAACACTTGCCTGAGAAGAATCCTCTGGAATCACTGGCCTGACATCATTAGCAACCAAGAACTGTGGCAGTGAACAAAACAAGAACCTGCAGAGGAAGAGATTCTCCGGCAATGTTGGAGGTGGACAGGCCACACCTTCTGGAAGCTGGCCTCAAGCACCACAAGACAAGCTATCACATGGAATCCCCAGGGAAAGAGAGAAAGAGGCCGGCACCTGGTGGTGTGACCTGCAAGCAGATGCCAAGAGAATGGACCACACTGGGGACAAATGGAGAAACTGGCCCAGGACCAAGATCCCTGGAGAGGTCTTGTCAGTGGCTTATGCTTCAGAAGGGGTATTAAGTGAAAGAAGAAAAAAGAAGAGAATGACTGTATATAAGCTGGAGGAGGTGACTTGCAAGAGGAAGGTCCAGACATCTCTGCTCGGACTGCTGCCCCCAATAACGAGACCAGGATTACCAGTGAATAATGGATGGATGGATAGCCCTTGATTACCCCAAGTTTATTTGTACATATGTTAATATCAACTTTTAATCTCTTGTTTCTTTTTGTAACAAATTTTGGTTGCATGTTATTGAGTTACAGTAATGCAAATGGGTCAGAACTGTTTCTATATCTGAATTTTCAGAACCATTTTCATTGAAGTTTTAAAATTCCTCTGCATTCTGAATGAATGGACTGTGTGAGGGGCTATCCAGCTCAACAGCCAATGAGGAGACACAATCCATGGCATGGCTATGAATGTCTTTAATGTTCCCCAGATCGGAATCACAGCATACAGTGTGTAATAACTTCTAAATTAAACAGAAATATCATCACCTTATTTATGTTTTTTTTCTTTTTTTAAATTTCTTATTCTTTTTAAATTCATTATTAACATTTTTTCTTCATCTCAAGTCTTGGGTTTCTGAATTCAAACAAAGAGAGTAAAAATGTGACAACAGGTGCAAGGCTTTTTGGTGACCCATTTACTTGATGGTTCAAAGTTCAAAGGTCATGCTCCCTGTGCGCGCAGGATCCTTCCATGTGATCACCTTATACTAACCTTCAAACCTGCTCCTTAATCTCTGTTGGAATATGAGACTGTCTCATCCTAGTTAATTACTAAAAATAAAAGACCTTGGTTCGGTAATTGACACACAAATTGCCCAGACTAGCAACTGAATAAGCAGGGAAGAGTAAATCATTCTGTTTTTAAAGCAATAAAGTACACCTTCGTTAAATGAGCTGGTTTCAAAGTATGGATATTGGGGTTTTTTGGAGGATTGTCATTCATTGTTATTTTAAATAGCAACGTGAACCACTGGTTCCCAAAATCCCGAGCTGCAATCCATTAAGAAGCTGACCATAAAACATACACACATTGCGTCACACTCAGACCTTGCAGACAGATCCTGTCTTGTTTTCACGGGCTTTAAGGTGCTGTTCATGTCACTTGGGAGTGAGGTGTTGGGGGGGTCGGAAGGAGAGTGCCCTGATCCTCATTCGGGCAGGAATTCCTGACATGTTCCAGAGCAAGATGGTGGATATGTAAAGCTGACAAATCACCAGGCCCCTCTGACAAAACACTGCATGACATTGCTCCGTCAGGCCAAGGAAACCAGGAGTCAAAGACGCACAGCTCCCCTTCTATACCATCCTACTTCCTACTTTTTAGAACTTTACAACTTTATTCCTAATTAGTCATATATATATCACAAAATAAAAAAATACACAGTGGATTCATGATATGACAGCCATTTTAACCTTGAGATATCCCAGAAATTCCGCCTGAAGCACATAAAGGCCGCCTAAAGCATACGGCCTGGCCGTCAGCCACAGCATGCCTTGCACCTGCCGTCTTTGTCACAAAGTATTTCAGTCATTCGCTCCAAAACCAAACGAGAAACTTAATATTTACAAATAGGTACTTTTGTCTGGTTGTTATTACACTTAAAAAATGTACAGTCTGTCTTTCATTTCGACTCTGTCCATTCTCCACGTCACGCTCCTCGGAGGACTTCAGGAAGTTGGGAAAAAAAGGGAAAAGAGGTTGTCACCATCACAAGCCGTCCAATGTGTCAACATCTAAAAAACAACAAGAAAAAGAATGGAAAAGGAGGAAAAAAATCTCTCAGTCGCTGCTCTTATTCGGCGGTATCCTTGTGTTTTTGCATGTATATGTGTATTTTGCTCCCCTACTAATTTTTATGAGTGTATGTCGGATTGTACTCAGGCCACAAAGGTCTGCTGTTGCTGTCACAGATGTCTTGGTTACCACGGTTACAATGTGGGATATGATGACATCCGGGGAGACTTGGATATATGTTTTTCCTTCTTTTCGTGGATTATCAGTTTGTCTCCACAGACAGCTGCACAGTACAGTCTGCCTCTGTTTCGTTCCTGTGTGAGATTGTGCAGTTGACCCCCACCCCCCCCGCTGGGATTAGGCCCCAGGAGCCCCCCCCCCCATTCTTTGTGTTTATGCCCAATTGCTTCATATGGGGATTGAGGAGGAGAAGGAGAAGAAAAGGTCTTCCAGTTTCTCTGTTTCTCTTTTTGTTGTACTCCGCCCACCAAATACACCCCCAAAGGAAATATAACGCTGCTTCTGAAGGACACCCCCCCCTTCCCCAACTACAAGGGGAATATATGCCCACCCCCCCCGACCTTTTGTCAAGCCCTGGCCAGCCAAGGCCAGCCCTGCCCCCACAATCACAGAACACAGGTGGGGGTGAGCATAGGAAGTCGGTGGGTGGGGCCGTAATAACAGAGCACACAGCCCCTCCCAGGTCCCCTGTGAAATATGCCTCTTGGACTCCAAGCCTGTCAGACTGACTAGTCATGAGCGGATGAAGCCTGCCATTTACCCAAATGTGCTTGTAAGACATTGCAGTCACTTTGGCGTGGTCAAAATTGGGGAGGGGGGGCAGTTAAGGGTGGGAGAGAACAAGGTGGACTGAAGGGTGAAATCTGCACCTGCTCCATTCCATCTGACACTGAGAGACGAATATCTGAACCTCTTCAGGACCTGAGCTTCTCACTGGCAGAGCAGTTTGCCCAGTTCCCCTCTTTGTAGGTTGCGGAGGGGAGTGGGGGGGGGATTTTGCCTGAGGAATTGGCTCCTGAGCCGGAGGGGTGGTCTGGACCGTATGCGGGGGGGTAGTGTTGGGAGGTTATGGTGCGTTCGATTATTTCTCTCCAAGTCGGAACTTGGATGAAAACGTCACAAAAAACGTCACTTCCCGTCGGAAACACGCCTCCTTTATGACGTTGAAGTCGGACAAGATTTTGTTGTCCGAGTTGCCCCTGTGACGTAATTTCAACATGGTGACTTGGTTTGTTTATAGTTTATTTACCCTTCGAAAAAAGAATATCGCTATGAATGTACTAAAATATTTTATAAAGCTTTTAATGTGGTTTGACTAGTTCGTGTTTCTTGTTTGCCTCTCGGAAAAATCTCAATTTCTCCATTTGGAAAACTCCAAATCTGCTAAAATATAGCGTAACAACACACAGCAACGTGTTCATGGAGGCAGCCATGTTTGTTCTGAGATGTGGGTAGCTCGAACGGGAGATTGTCGGACATGATGTCACTCAACTCAGAATTTCCGAGTTCCGAGAGAAAAATGAACGCACCATTAGCTCTGTCTTAGTCCTAATTACCAGTAAGGGTGCTCCATCAAAATAGCAAGAGGCTATGGCCCACACAGGGGGGGCAGGGGGGGAGGAGGGGACCGTAGAAGGGAACATGGGTGTTGCCTCTGATGTGACAGGCCTCAGGTAGGCGAGGGGTCTCACAGACAGGAGGATCGCTTAGCAGCCGGGAGTATGAACCAGAGATTGATGAAGAGGATGGAGCTGTGATGAAGAGGAGAAGCTGTGGCTTTACTCACAGAAGCTAAGCGGGTGCAGTGCCCTTCAGCAAGGCCCTCTGCCCACTGTGTATATGGGTAAAACTGTAAAGGTACATGAAAAGAGTATATAAATGCATACTAAGCAAAATGAAAATGAAACTCTTCTTGAAATTAAAATACTTTAAATGACTCTGGCCCAGGCTACTTTTTGGGTGACTGAGAGAAGCATCTTCATTCTTTGAATTTGCTGGGGGAAAAAAACCTACACTTGGTTTTAGAGAAAAAGCCCAAAAAGTCAGGGAAACTGAATAAGCACTTCTGTCATTCGAATTTACTGAATCCAGCACAGGATTCAATCGAACCATTCCCCCCCCCCCCCCCCCCAATCCTCACAGGAAAAGGTAGTGACAGGACGGGAGGGGAGCAGCGAAGCCCAGAAGTGACAGACCACAATGTTCCTATTGGTACAAGATGAGTGAGACAGGAATAACAACAGGTATCTCTTACAGAGACAGGTATCTCTTATGGATGGATAGAGACCAGGCTCAACAGTCTCTGAGAGAGGAGCAGGCATGACCTGCTTGGTCCAGTGTGAAGTGGGCAGCAGCTGGAGTTGCCGATTTACTATCAATTCATTTATTAGTTGCCACTGGCTTCCACAGATGCCCCTTTTCACTGATACCTATGGGAGGGACTTTAGGGACAGGCCAAAGGTCCGAATGCTTGGTCTTCGAAAGCATGAATGCGCATAAGACGGAAATTTAAAAAAATACAAAGAACAACAAAATTGTAAAAGCAAAATGGCAATTGAATTTTTTAACCTTTCCTGTCTGGTGTGCCGCCTCTGCTTGCCCAATCCGGAAAACCTCATGCATAGATCCCCACAGAGCGAACCGTTCATAAATTTTCTTTATATATACGTTTATATAGATTATGTATATAATCTATATCTCTATGAATCTATATTTTCAAAACTCTTTCCACAACAAAGAACAGCAACAATCAATCGATACAGAGTACAAAGAAAAATAAAAGGAGGCGAATGTTTGGCACTTTTCTTTCGACCGTTCCCCCCGCGCACAGGCAGGACACAGAGCCTCCATTTCTCTGAGTGCCCCATCTGGATCAGAACAACAGGTCTTGGCACCAAGAATGCTGGTAGAAAGAGGGTTTTGGAATATTGCCTTTCCAAGTCACCTCTTGCACACACGTGTGTTTGGGTAGGTGTGCGTGTGCTCACGCTCCTTCCAAGGAACCACAGACGGAGAGGTGCTGAGAAAGAAAGGCTAGGGGAGGGAGATAAAAGAGCGATAACAGTGGGGGTATGAAAGGGCTGACCTCGATACAGAAGATAGAGGGATTAAATAAGGAGAAGCAGGCACAGCAAAGCGGTGGAGAAGAGCGGGGGAGACCATGAGGAGGTCGGCGGCTGGGGCGTGATTCTCATTGGAAAGAAAACCATGGAAATTCTTTCCCGCCTTGTGAGAACATGGCTGAGGCACGGCTACAGTGGCTGCTGTCCGACCCCAGGGAACCAGATCTTGCCAAAGACGTGGGGGGGAAAACATGGGAAACAAACAAGGGGTGGGGGACAGTGTACGGGAGCAGGGGTGGGGGGAGAAGAAGACCCCTCGAAGAGAAAAGCAAAGATCAGCAGTTCTGTTGCGTGTCTCCACAGAGCACCAGCAGGGGGAGATGTTTGCAGCAGGCGGCGTCGCCCGGACTCTCTGAGGGAGTCGTCCTCCGTGAGACTCCACTATACGCGGGTAGTAGAGTGAGGGTGGGGCAGGGTGTTGTTGTGCCCCACGGGGGCGGGGTAAGTGTTAAAGGCGTGAAGAGGCTGCATGGCGGCAACGGTGCTGGAGATCATGGTTATGGTGTTGGGCGGCATTAGCGGCATATCGTCCGGGGCGCGGCGCAGCGTCAGGGTGTAGTCGGGCGGGCAGGCCGGCCGGAGGATTTCGTGGGGTCGTAGTGGCTCCAAGTCATGGTGGGGGTCATGCTCCGAGTGCTTCATCTGCATGGACATGATCTCCTCCTCCTGGCTGTGTGCCAGGTCATTGGCGGGCCCGTGCTGTGGAGAGAGGCGCCTCCGCATCTCGTGCCGCTTGTCCCGCTTGTAGTAGAGTGCAGCGAAGGCCAGGATATTGAGGAAGAGGAGGGAGGCACCAACGGCCACCGTCACGCTCAGCTCCGTGGAGTAGTCCCGCGTGTCGTCGGGGAAAGGCGAGTGGCGAGGCCTCTCCGAGCCATCGGGGTCAGGGTCTGGTGGAAAGGTGGGGATGGGGTGGCGGGTGGTGCGTGGCCCCGAGCCTTTGCCCCCCCCCCGGGGCGTGCCCGGCGGCAGGCGCGTAGTGGTGGAGCTGACGTAGACGTCATGGAGGCTGTGCAGGTGAGGCACCAGCTCCAACCAGAAGGCCACCTTATTGGCCCGATAGTTATCCCGAACCCGCGGCTTCAGCCCGATGTGCAGGTACTGCTTGTCCTTGGAGTTAAACTTGGTCCAGATGACCTCCTCAAAGCGGTTGGGCTTGGTGTGGATGAACTTGGTGTCCTGGGGCACTGGCAGGTTGGGATCCCTAGACAGCCAATCAGAAAAGACTTTAGTTACCAAACTTAGGTTTGAGGAACTGCAAGTTCCTTTGGGTATTCGCTTCCTTAGATATGCATGTAAACAAAAAGTACAAGAGTGAATGGTGTTGGTAAGTTAAGGAGAACATGCTCAATGCATCAAACACTGACCCTGTCTTGGCAAAGTTGGTCCAGTAGGTCATGACCACGGCGCTGAGCATGATGTCGTTCTTGGAGAAGTTGCAGGGGAAGAGGTCAGTGGCACCCACCATGGGGACGCCAAAGACGTAGGGGATCTCATCCCCATGGGCTGCGTCTGCCCACTCGGGTCGCGTCTCTGTCTGGCAGTGGTGGTAGAAGGTGTAAAAGTAGACAGGAGACTGAAACTCGGCATGCAGCTTGGCCGTGGCCACCGCCGGCGCCACCCACTGGTGGTCGGTAAAGAGCGCCAGCAGAGTCTTGCGCCGCATCTCGCCGTTGTCGCGATCCGCCCAGTCTGTGTACATGAACTTGATGGTCTCCCTCAAGATGTCCTTACCTGTGAAGAAAAGCTGGGTGAGAACAGTCTAAGCCCACGGCTCTTCAGCCACATTGATTGACAAGAATTACAATTGCTGACAATGATCCCCCAGTAACAAAACTGAGGCCATTTTAAGAGCATCAGGACTGCAACCTTCCTACCCAGTGTTGACTGGCAGGCTAACTCCTCACCTTCTGGATATCCGTATAGGTTGTCCACGAAATTGGAGATGGTGTAATCGAAGGCGGCAGCAGAAATACCCTCCTCACCCTCAGAACCCCCATCGTCCACAAACTTAAGCCCCTCTCCCTGGTTCACCCCGATCAGGATGTCATAGTTCAGGAACTCCCCCTGGTGGAGTGGAATGGGAAGTGCATGTCAAAACATTTTAATACAGTGGTACCTCGGAACTCGGAATTTAATCCGTTCAGAACTCTGGTTGAAATCCTAAAAAGTTCGAGTTGTGATCGAGTTTTCCCCATAAGAAATAATATAAAACCAATTAATTGGTTCCCAGCCCCAAAAAATCTAAATATGTTTTTTTTTTAAGCATTTAAACACAAAATGAACCGGATAAAACAAGAAGAGCATATACTGTACTAAACACACTAAACACATCTAAGCACATTTATCAAAACAGTAATTTGTAAAGTAAGAAAATAAATGTATCAAAACAATGTGTAAAGTAATAAAAAAACAATGTGTCGTGCCCCAATCATCCGCTCCTTCCGTGTGCCACGCCCCCTCGTTAACCCCGTGTGGGATCCCCATGTGATCAGCTGTTTCTGGTTGTTGTCATTAGTCCTCTGTATTTAGTCCGCGTTTCAGTTTGTTTCCCCAGTTCGGTCATTGTATTGTCCGTCTGCGTTTTGCCTGCCTTACCTGTAATTAAGCCCCATATTATTGTACAATATTATTGTAATTAAATTTATTAATGGTTTATTATTAATATTAAAATAATTACTAAGAAATCTTTATTTTTAAATGTATTTTATTATATAATAATAATTACTGTTACTGTCTATCATTATCTAAATGTATTTTTACTGTCTAGACCCTTTACCCCTGAGAGACGTGCCGCGTGACTCATTTCCCCGCGCGAACAAGTCATCTTAGGTCGGCATTCACGGTTTCACTTCTGAGATTCAGGTCGAGTTCTAGGTAATTTTTTTTCGAACTGGTTGGTTCTACTTTTAAGAAATTGTATTTTGAAAATTTGTATTCTTTCACAAAAACAATTAAATATATTTCCTTGGATAATAAGAACAAGGAAATAATATTCAATGTTCACAATCAAATGAACCCGATAACAATGATAATTACTCTGTGTCATAACATATCCTAAATACCAGCACTATTAAAATAGTAATAGTCATCTCTAAATGAAATGCTTGTGTTACACGACTGGAGGCTGCTGATACTGCAGAAGAGATGGCTGCAGCTGTAAACAGGGATTGACCCGAACATCCTCCAGTAGAAAAAGAAGGTACTTAAATCATACTATTGTGGGGAGGGGAAGGGGGGCACTTTTTAAAAATTCACGTACAATGGTAAGTTAAATGGAAAGTAATAGAGATTGAAGGTCATGATAGTGCCTCAAATCCACTGCAATACAGGCCAGTGGAAGTTGATTGGGAGTATACACAATCATATCCTATGTTAAAGGGTCCTGAATGTGAAAAAGCAGGAATCAGTTTTTAGAGGGGAATTGTAACAGCATCCTGGGTGGAAAAGCCTAACCTCCAGCCCTGAAAGCGAGAGGTGATGGTGCTATCCACAGAATGACCCCTCCGTGCCCTGTCCTCCCCTGTCACTGGCAAATAAAGATCTTGTTCCCTTTCCCAAACCCACATCATTTGGTTTTGTACAATCGGTGACAGCTACACACGGTTTTGACAGCGTCAAGGGCAATGGGCAGATGCATGGGTCCATTTGTTGGGCTGGAAACGAGAAACCCTGAGGTTCCCACCTGCTGCATGAGGATCTCCGGGTCATCAGGCACCACATCGCCATCCACTACAGGCCCAAATGCGATGTGATAGCGGGCTGGCTGGATGTCCTGGTCCACCAGCTCGCGGAAGTTCTTGCGGCGCAGGCACTCAACCATGTTGGCGGTCTCTCCAAAGCTGCAGCCCACCTTGCGTGCCAGGATCTTGGTGTACTTCAGGGGCTGGTAGTTGACCGACCAACTGGAGATGGCAGAGCCACTCTGGGCGATGGCGCGCTGAAACAGTCCTGGGGGGCCGAGAAGATGAGGAGGACCATGAGAGGGTCCACCTGCATGGGGAGAGAATGGCGTGCAAAGCCAGCTAGGCTTGGAGCTCCAGAGAGGACCTGAGTGCACAGTAACCCTTCAGACGCTACACGGAATGCCTGTGTGTCATCAGCCAATTCCTGCAGTGTATTAATTATTCACCCAGGCTAAGGGCTCTGAAGTGTAATGTCTGTCCATGCCAGTCAGCTCTGTTCAGGCTCAATGGAAAGGAGGAGGATCCCGAATTTTACACCTGGAGCCAATGCTGGAACAAACTGGGGAACAGATAGGGAATGAAATGGACACGGACTTGATCATGACTGGGAATGAACGGGAAATGAAGTGCACTGCAAAAAACGAGTATAGAAAGTGGGGATGGATATAACCGAGCATGGGAGAGTAGTGTGATCGGACTCAAACTGGCAGACTGGAGGGTTTGGGAATCTCTAATGGGAATGTCATGGGATAACCCCCCATGGGGCGGGCCATTCGACAGCTGCTCAGAGTGGTCCCCGCGGAGCGGACGGCCATCTACTTATTACAGCCTCTCCATCCGACAGCTGTTCGGCATCTCCTTTATTTAATAATAAGGGAGGGGCGCCACATCCTTTCCCTCTGAAAGCAATTAGGAGTTGCTGTTAACCTGTCCCGCTTCAGCTCGAATGGGAAGACAGGAGCCGCTCCATCCCTGCCCATGTTTCAACCCCAGCAATAACCTGGATTTTACCCCATCTTACCCATGGATGCTCCCCGTCAGCTTACCAGCTCTGCCATCTAGACCTGTCCACTTTGACCCCATGAGGCTATCATTTGTTTTTGCAAGTGTAATGGCCTTATATATATGTTTTTTGGTGTCAAATACCAGCTGAAAGCGATAGTTGTCAGAAAAGAAACATCCTTGCATACCTTAGGATCAGCAACCCAGCTGGGGTGGGGAGGGGTGGATTACATGGTCATGGTGACGAGGACAACGATGACGGCGAAGGTGCTATTGATGACGTGAGAGCGACCGGGGGGAAGGGGGGGTAAGATGAGATCAGCAGAGAGGACAAGTCAGTGAGTTAGTGGCACAGAGTAAAAACACAGAAGACGCCTAACGGAAATGCAGATGCCCGGGTCCTGGGGGAAACGGCAGGCTCTCCACGCGCCTGGCGCAGTCTGTACGCCATGGAGCGCAGAGCCTGCAAGAGCGCAGAGCCCGAATGAGCCCTGCATCCAAAATGCCTCGCCCAGAAATAAGTGTCTAATCGTTTGGATAGTGGAAGTGGAGAAAATTATCCATGTTCAGCTTTAGGATGCCAGCATTTTTGGTCAGATGGTAATTTAATTAAGAAAGTGGTGTTTAGACCAAATGGAAGCCGGTTCCATCCCTGGAAGCAGAGCTCCTGTTTAAACAGCATGTTACTGAACCCAAACCAGCATCTCACTGGACGGCTTGGTGACATTCAAGGCATGTGATTTAAGATCAAAGCAGGAAATTAACTAAAAGCCTGATGCTGAGGGGTTAGCTTCTGACTCTGTGAGTTTTTAATGCATTAAAGAACGGTGGGGAGGTTGCATTACGGGGGTGTGGCAGCCTCACCTTCAGAATGGTGGGACAGGATGAGCAGGTTGACGCAGGACGCCCCCGCCCCGGAGCCGAAGATGGTGATCCTCTCTGGGTCACCCCCAAAGTGCCCGATGTTCTCATTTAGCCAGCGTAGAGCCTGGATTTGGTCCAGGAGCCCGTAGTTACCCTTTGCTGACTGGTCCCCTGTGCTCAGGAAGCCTGCGGGGTGGGGAAAGTGAGGGGGAAGGGGTAATGGGTAGGGGGAATGGACAGAGATGGGTGGGGGAGGAGAGAGTGGATTAATACCGCTGGCATCCTATGTTGTGATGTCACAGCCCTCAGAAACTATGGCTCTGAGGAGGTACGGGGTTTTCCCGCGGCCACACGCTGCCGCACCTCACTGATGTCACCACATGCTGCCGCCACTTGATGACCTTCCTCAGATAAATGGGAAATGCCGTTTGATCACCGAGAAGTCAAGGAAAATTAGCGAAGCACTGCGACAACTCGTTAGAGCAACAAACCATTTTCAAAGGGCGGGGGGGGGGGGGGTACTGGAGTGAGAAAAGAGCTTGCTGGGAAATTGATAAAGAATAAAATGGTGGGTGTTCTGTGAGCCTGGAATAGCGGAAGATCGTTTCATCTGCCTCCAA